CAAAAGGAACAAGAACATATTCCAAGCTTCTTGTGGTTCAGAAAGCCAGTCAAACATCACTGTTATTCTCAGCAAACAATAGCTACTATTTGACATGATTGAATATTTAAATTCTGAAGCCATGGAGATGCTAGAGCTACTTTTTAAGTGGTCCACAATAGACGAGTGATTGCAGTGGAGTTGGTTTTCCCTGACTTTCAGTTACATTCTCCTTCTTTTCATCCCACTCCCATCTCACCTGTGATGAGACTATCCCTGGACACAACCTTGCCTCCCAGTTATCATAGTGACTATTTAACCACTTCTGAGCCAAAAGGAGACATTGTCTGGGTTTTTAATTCTTAGGAAGAGAACTGCTTTTTCAAATTACAAAATACTTTTCTCCTAGTTTTGTGACTTTCAACATCCTGATGTATTCTCTGCCTTCCTAGGCTCTAAAAATGAACGGTTTGAAAAACTGTCATCTGTAAGTTAGAAGCAGGTTGTTGATGGAAGCATTTTTCCCTCCACTCTGTCCGCTCCAATATTTTAAAAGTCCATTATTCTTCACATTTGTGGAAAGGCATAGAGCCACATTTCAATTTCCCCTGAATGCAATCTCACATGGTTAAAGATTTTGCAATAGTTTATGTAGGCGACAGCAGGCAAGAGTTTAGCTTTTGTGGTACTCTGTGTGAGTGTGTGTGTGTGTGTACCCTTCCAAAAGGAAGGTGTTCTTTTTACCTCTTTGGAGCTGCAGCAGAGAATGAAAGCGTCTACAGTTTACATTCGCTTTGTCAGCCCCATAAGCAACCATCTGTTTCAGCTGCAGAGTGCGATCTGTCAGTTTTGTTTTAGGCTGTGAGGCAGTGGCAAGAGCTTGCTCATTGTTGTCTTCTGAGAGAACCGCAGAGTAATTAACCATTCCAGTACTGGTCACAAAAGAGATGGCCACTCTCAATGTTGGGCCAGATTTTTGCTTTCTCCAGTGCTGGAAGTACCACAAAAAATTGAATAGCTATTCATCGTGTTTCATTGTTCCCTAAAGAGGCAACATGCTCTTTGTTATAAAGGCAACCTGGATTTTCCGACATACCGTTTCATTTCAATGTCTGTGCGCCAAAGATGAAACAAAGTCTGGGTGCTGCAGACAAACAATCAAAACATGACAGTGACAAACACCCAGAGAGACCTCATTCACCAACACATGAACAGTGAAACGTCTTTCACAGACAATGGGAGATACGAGCTTGGGACTGGGAAGAAGAAGGGAGTTTTCATATGATTTGGGATGTAATGCTTTTCTGATTGAGCGCAACATCCATGGGGCACAGTCCTAATAAATAAAAGACCTACAGAATGAGATAAAGGGCAACAGGTTCTATACTTCATTTTACTTTTCAGATTACTTCTGTTTCTCTTTCCATCTTTTTCTTCAGTCTTGAATATGATGTGTTGTCTCTTTTCCTATCCAGGAAATGTGATTAACAAATTCTGAATTACTAGATGTTGAAAAATCCTTTTAAAATGGGTAGTAGAGAAGGTCCTAAGAACTTTTGCAAGTAGTCATCCTATAAAAAGTAGGGGGAAATAATTTTTTTGTTATGTCTCCAACATCAAGATGTCTGAAGACATATTCAGTTAACAGAGCTTGTCAAGCATAAATGTGGTCTCTATTTTCAACTGACTCTTTTATCTTTTCCAGCACATTAAAAAGTTGTATAGAACAAGTTGATGATCAAATGAGATGAGAAAATACTTCCAGTGATGAAGACAACATATACCACATCTCAACTTATTCTAACCAAGTACACAATGTCAGTGTTTGAATAATTAGCTTCTAGGCTTCTGAATATATCCTCTAAGTCATTTCACCATTTTTCCTGATAGCTTACTAAATTTCTTGATTTTCCTAATTAACATTTATTATGCTTTAAATAATAATTTACAAAGATATTTTACTCTGCAATTACAACTACTGCTTACTCGATTTTAAGAACTTTTGTAAATGCCACAATGAACTCCCACCCAGCATGACAATTAAAAAACCCTACTCCTTACTCATTAATGAGAATAATTAATCCATGTCCTGTTCTTAGTGCTCCTTTCATATTTTTAAGCAGATCTGAAGTTCTCCATTCTTCTTTTTCAACATTGAATATTTAAAGGTTTTACTTTTCTCTGTACATGTTTAGTTACTCATTAAAAAAAAACTCTTCCCTGTTGATTGTTTCCTTTTTTAAAAGTTATATACATATACAGTGTTGAGGTCTAACCAAAACCATGTGGGACAATGTATGTACACTTCCTCTTTTTTAGAAATGAGACTTCTTTAATTTAGGAAAGTTATTGTATTTCAAGTTTAAGGATATCATTTGTTTAACTCACTTATTTCAACTATCACTCAATATATGTCTTCAAAACCTTTGGAGTACTGTATTTGTAAAGTTTAATTATAATTACAGTCATATAAATATTTTTGGTGCCTTGATGAAATTCAGTTGTAAATAATCCATTTGCTCCTTGCACAAAGAAAGTCCTTGATCAGCCCTTAGGCTGATCTGGGTCTATGGAGCTAGGTCTGGTAGTCACGTATTACAGGCATATTGACTCAACAGGTATATTTATCCTGCCGTCTGCATCCAATATGACAGAATCACTCTTATTAAGGTACAATCTAAAGAGCACTGAAAGCCCAGTCAAAGAGCAGGTTCTAAGAAAAACTACAAAGCAAGTAGTATTTTTAGTTGTGTCTCTCTGACCTGATCATTAAAATTTAATGTCCCAGAAGGCAGGTTCAATATTTTGTTCAACTTTGTAATTTTTCCCTTTCCTCCTTACTCTCAGACCCAGTGCTTCTGGCTACGTATATGACCTCAAACAGAGTAGAATCCCATGTCTAAGACGCTAGCCTATGCCCCACATTCTCTTTGTCTCCTCTCTCCTCCCCTTCTCCCTCTCTCCTTATATTTTCTCCAGGATCCCCTTTGCACACCTGATCTGTCCAAGAGTTGGGCATAGTCTTACTGTCAAAACTTGTTGAAAGGGTTAATCACCTACCCCATCAACAATCAATAAAATCAGATATCTAAACTAATATATTCTATAAATTAAAATATATAGTAGAATTTTAAAAATTCACAAATTTCAATACAACTTCTTGAGTAGCCAGGTGTGGGTATGCAACAAACTGATATAAGAGAAAATAACTCTCTCATTTACTGCATCAAGAACCTATATTCAAAAGAAAACAGTTTGCCATGCATCTTGTGTTTAAAGGAGAACAAAGTTACCAATGTCATCTTTCAAGGTAAGGAAAATTTCATCAATTTTATTCAAATTAATAAATGTATGAATACAATCTATTAGACCCCAGGAAGATTATGAGATGAATGTGCTTGTGTTGCCTTTGTTACTTATTTAAATTAGCTTTAAAGTTTCTAGAATCTTCAAGGGGAACTGTCTTAGTTGATATGCCCCTTGATGTTCAAATGAATTGAATTAATATTCCCGTAAGCATTAAACCAAGATTTCTAACAGAAGTAAGATTTTATTACATTGATCGCCCTAAGAAAAAAGCATTATCATTGATAATATTTTTTCTAAAAGCAAAATCTTTGATACTATCAATAAACAAGATGAAAATAATTTCAGAATTCTCTCATTCCAGTCCCTGTATTACTATAGGGAGCACTGATTTTATGGTATGAAAGCCAACTTCCAGAGACTTTGAAGACTTGAGACAGGAATGTTCTAGAGCAGAGTTCAGCAAACTGTGACCCTTGCTTCTTAAATAAAATTTTATCAGAACCCAGTAATGCCCACTTGTTTACTTACTGGTTGTGACTGCTCTCCAAATACAAAGGCCTCCCTTGATCTAGCAGATCAAGTGTTGTTTCTGACAGCCATTGGATCTCCAGGCAAGCAGAGGAGAGAAAGCAGAGGCTGCCTGGAGAAAGGGGCTGGGGGAACACGATCTCGGTGCCCATGAGAAGGTCATTAGACAGAACTTTCCACAAGTTTATCTTTACTTGGATCTATCACAAGTATGTCCATATAGATCTTCGTTTGAAATAAAAGTTTTAAAAAATTTGCTGATTCAAGCCACCTGAGCGCAATGAATGTCTGTGTTTATCTGGTGAATATCATTTCCAGGTAAATAAGGTTAAGGCCCCCTGGTTCCAGATCATAAATGTTTCCCTTCCAGGAAAGGAGCTACTTAGTTCTGCTGCACCCTCCAAAAGATTACTTAAATGGCTGTATTGGTTGGTATTTTTATTTGTTTGGGTGGATTTGGGGGGCGGGGTGTCACCTTTGGCTCATTGTTGTGTTGTACTCAAATCTGTGGACCCTGTTATAGTCCAAATCCCCAAACAGCTGGAGTCTAACTGAATGACAAGCATCAAGGGAAAAGTGTGGAGTGCAGCATATCAAATGAAAGGTCAGTAGCAAAGGGTTGGACAGTCACAGATAACTGTACTACAATCAGGTTAAGAAACAAGATAGTGGGTTTTTACTTATTTGGGGGGGGGAAATTCAAAGTTAAAATATTAGAAAAAACTTCATTTTCGCAATAATAGCTTTTCTGTTATTCTGATAGTTTTCATTTATTGAATATAGACTATTAATCTGCAGGAAAAAGATTTATTCAATTCTGAATCAATTCGGCGATTAGACATCATGAAGTGTGAGTTTGGAGACAACTGAGCATATTAAAGAAAGTAAGAAAGAATTGTGGTACTTACAGGAGTAGTCATTTCTATTAATGCATCAAGCACGTGACAGGCACTGGCAAATGTTTACAAAACGAATGTGGAAGGAACTCATAAGTGAAATATTGAAAACAGAGGTAACTTTGCAAAAGTTGTTCTAGTTTGTAGGTTTACAGAAGTTAAATGGTTCCCTTAAATATGGTAAAGTTGATGAATCCATAGGACAAGAAAGAAAAGGTGAATGTGCGTAACCTACAAGAACAGATATTTGGGAAAGGAGTTGAGAAGTCCACACATCAGAGATATTACCTCTGCAGAACATTTCTTTACAGTCACTTCCTCTTCTGGGTGTTTCTCTGTCTCTTGTCAGATGCTTCTTTCCCAGGCTTCTGATCACAGTGGATGAATCGTGCCCTGTAATCACATAATCACATGTGGATTTATCTTGATCTTTCCATGTAGACAGACAGAGGGAGAGAAGGAAAATTTAGAATGAAATAGTAGAGTTTAGAAATGCTTTCATCAGTGAACAATTACTTTGAAAAGCAACAAAGCAGAGTAAGTATTTGAATGGTACCAATAGGAGGGAAGGAAGGGGAAGGAAAGAGGGAGGGAGGGAGAAAAGAAGACTGTTCAAGGATTTAAATTCAATGTTTTAGCTAAAACTTAAATACTTAAGATAGGGACAACAATATTTAAATTGAAGTAGAAGACCAAAAGAGCAGTTTACTTAGTTATTAATACACCTATTATGTGAATAGTATACTGGGAGCAACTTGTAGAAACATTTTTAAAATGACAGACTGACTCATAGAAGGCATTGTTAGTAGTCTTTGCAATTAAAATCTAGAGAGTTGGATAAATAACTTGTCTTACTATGGATTTTTCTGGGAAATATATAAAACTAACAGCTCCTCAATGACTGAATAGTTTGGAAATCCCAAAGATGGCTGCTTCAATGAAGTGCATAATAATATTCATCAGACTTGACCATAGCTCAGCAAAAAAGGATTTTAATTTAAGGCAGAAAGCAGCCAAACCAGGTACAAGTGTGAGCCCAATTTTATACAGTAAGAATGGCAGTGTACTCAGGAGGCAGAAGTAGGTGGAGGACAAGTTCAAGGAAAGCCCAGGCAAAGCTAATGAGAACCTACCTGAAAAACAGAAATACAAGGCCTGGCACAGAGGCTCACATTTTTAATCCCATCTATTCAGAGATGGTGATAACGAGGATGACAATTTAAGGCCAACACAGGCAAAAAGTTAGGGAGACCCCCATCTCAACAAGTAAGCTAGGCATGGTGGTCAATGACTATAATCCCAGCTATGTAGGAGGTATAGATAGGAGGATTGCTCTCTGAGATCAGCCAAGGCAAAAAGTGCAAGACTGGTTGAAATATAACCTAAAGCAAAAAAGACTGGAGGCATTGCTGAAGTGCAGAGCACTTGCCTAGCAAGCATACATCCAAGGACTCAAACTCCAGTACAGATTAAAAAAGAACAAAACTAAAAATACAAACAAAAGCACTAGGGACATGACTCAAGTGTAAAAAGCTTGCCTAGCATGTGGGGCCCTGGGTTCAATCTCTAGTACCAAATAAACAAGCAAACAGCAACAACAAATAAAACTATGGCTGGGGGCAACTAAAAAAAATCAGGGTAGATGTGTTGACAATTAACAACTGCAGATGAAGCTGTGAACATTGATAGTATGTTATGCTCCGTTACATGTCAGGTGATAGGAAGTAAAGGTTTTTCTGATAAAATATATATATATATATATATATCTTGCTTACATCGACCAATCTAAAGCCTTTATCTTGCTAAAGTAATCTGCCAAATAAAACTTTCTCAGCAGGTTTGGAAATTTACATTGGTTTGAGATGACAGAGTATAAACAAATGATAATATCAGAACTGTTTAATAATGAGTAGGAAATCAGCATAAGAACATTTAGCAAACTGTTATTTTTACTGTTTTTTAATCTTTGGTTCATTCTTGTCAAGTTCTCTATATTATATTAACTCAGATCTTTGCAAATACAACTTAAGCATAAAACTACCTCATTGCTACCTACTTTATTATTGCACATGTGCTTCCTGCTATAAATAGTAATAGCTTTTCTCAGGTGTCTCACAACTGATTCCATTAAGAGCTGATGCCAGTAACAGTTCAACTGGTGTTTTTCTTTATTGTCAGTTGCTACATATACTTCATTGTTTCCTTAGGAAGGACATAGTACATAGTCACAACCAAGGAAAATACAAATCCATACTCAGAGAATTTAAGCAAAATCCCACAATTAGTAGAGCAGTCTACTAGTAACACCCTAAGGACATTTCAACAAAATTATCCCTTACTATATATTATGGCTTTGATATAAGATGGAGGCTCCAAAGACTCATGTGTTGAGGGTTTGGTTTCTAATTGGTGGTGTTATTGAGAGGTAATGGATTGTAATGAAGCTGACATCATCAATGTATTAATCCACCGATGAACTCTTAGCTGAAGGGGCTGTTCTATCATCAATGTATTAATCCACCGATGAGCTCTTAGCTGAAGGGGCTGTTCTATCAGGAAGGGGGACACAGTTGGAAGAAATAAGCTACTGAGGGTGTGGCTTTGAAGGTTACATCCTGTCCCTCGCTTCTCCTGTCTTTCTCTTTGCTTCCTGACTGCCATGAGGTGAGTGGTTTCGTTCTACCACATTCTCCCCACCATGCTGTTCTGTTTCTCTAAGATCCAGAAACCATGAAGCCAAGGTACCATGGACTAAAACCTCTATAACTGTGAGCCAAATAAATCTTTCCTCCTCTAAGTTGTTTTGCTCAAGAATTTTGCACAGCTATAAGCGACTAAACAGAAAATTGGTACCAGAAAAGTAGAGTTATTGCTAGGACTATCCCTGACCATGTGGTTTCAAACCCTTCGGAACTGACTTATAAGAGGAATTTGGAAAGAGTTGCAGGAGGAATTTGGAAAAGTTTGGAGAAGTAGGCTATAAAAAGTTTGGAATGCTATAACAGAACTTAATGGGTGATTCTGGATGGATCTCAGAAACAAAGAATGCTGATAGAAATTAGGACAGTACTCATGAAGTTCAGGTAGAAATGAGGACTCTTAGTAGACCAGAGGTCAATTATGTTACATTCTGGCAAAGAACTTGTCTATACTTTGTCCATGTCCTGAGATTTTGTGAGAGGTAAAATTTAAAGGTGATGGGCTAATTAATCTGATGGAAGAAAGTAAAAGGTAGCAGAGCACTCAGGCTCTGTATGAGTATTGCTGGCTGCTTTTAGACAGATTTACATTATGACTCAGAAAGAAAAAAAGCAAAAAACAGACAGGCAAGAAGGATTAGAAAGTTTTGCAGTTTGACCAGAAAGAGAACTTGTTCAAAGTTAGAGCTGAGTAAGGTGTGGTTGCTGAATTGATTAGCACCATTAAAAAGAAGCCAAATGCTTGTTATTGAAACAATAGGAAGATACTTCCAAGCATGTTAGAAATTAGCTAGACTCACCCATCACAGACTCAAAGCTGTAGATGTGTAAGACTTTGCTTTGAGAAGAGAACTACGGGGCTCCTTGCTCATAAAAGGCTGCCCAGGGAAGTGTTTGTCCACATTTTAACCATCCAGGTGCTCAGAGGATACTGTAGTCATGGTCCAAGTGGGCCCAGCCACTGTTCAAACTGGCAGCAGACCTTGCTATCATTTCCATGATGCTGGTTTTGCAGGCATACAGAATACAAGAGTTGTGTGGTTATGGGGGATTCCACCTAGATTTCAAAGTTAGGCATGTGATGCCAGGTAATTCATGTCAGTGTTAGAATCCCTGCAGGCAGCCCCTAAGAGGGTGATAACTGAGGCTATGGGAATGAATTTGCAATGGACACCATTGGAAGGTAGAGATTCCATGAATGTGGAGCATCTGAGTAAAACAGAAGACAGCAAGCAGAGCCATCCCAAGAGAGTGACAGTGTAGGATTCAGCCAACATGACTGAGGGGTGGGGCTGCACAAACCCTTTGGAGCTTACATACTGCCACAAAGTGCCCTGGAAGGTGGACGTGGAGTTACATGTATGCTCTGCTGGATTTCAGTCTTGCTTTGGTCTGATCCTTCTTTTTTATACTTCTATACCTCCCTTTTAGAATGGGAATGTTTACCCTGTGGTATTGTATCTTAGAATTATGACCCTTGTTTTTTAATTTTGCAAGGCTCACAGCAAAGAGTTCACCTTGAGTCTCAAAGGAGACTTTGGACTTATACTTTTGAGAAGTGCTGGAAATATTGAGAACTTGGGGACTGTTGGGGATGGGCTAAGTGCATTTTGCATTATGAGATAGATATGAGGCTTTGAGAGTCAGAGATACAATGTTATTGTATGTATATGAAGACTTAGACCCTAGTTGGTGGTACTTTTGAGGTGATTGGAGTGGATCAATCCATTGATGAGTTCATAGTTGAATGGGCTATTAGGAGGTGGAGCTTAGCTGGAGGAAGTAGGTCACTAGGGACATTTCTTTGAAGGGTGTATCTTGTCCTCAGATCCTTCCTCTCTCCCTCTCTCTGGCTCCTGTCCATCATGAGGTGACCCACTTTTCTCTATTGCACGCTAATCAGCATGATGCTCCACCTTGCCACGAATGTACCCAGAAACATAGGAACCAGGTGAACATGGACTGAAAACTCTGAAACCATGAAACAAAATAAGTCCTTCCTCTCTTAGGTTGTTTTCTCAGGTATTTTGTTACATCAACAAAAAGTGTCTAATACACTGTATCTACAGATAATTTCTCTTGTTTTAAAATTATTTGGGCATATCAAAGTTATATATTTAGATCATTCTTATGAAAGCACATATTACTATGATACTAAAGCAATAAGAAAATACTACTAAGTATATGCTGTTTGATAACTGAATTACAAAATTAACCTCATGGGATTCAGAATAAAAGAATAGCAATTATCTATAACAAACTATAATTTCATTGTGGTCCTAAAAATAATGGGATTAAATCTAAGGGCTATTTTAAAAATAAACAAACAACAATAACAACAAAAGGTGAGATGATAGCGTTCATTCATAATTAAAGTCTTCATTGGATGCATTGATAGAATTGTTTATTTAAAAATCTTTCTCTATATTTTTAGTTCCATCTATTAGGTATTTGTGTCTACCTTGTCATAGATGATAGATAGGGGTGGGAGGCAGGGGGTAAAAATGCCCCAAACAATGTATGCACATATGAATAAATGAATAAAGAAAAAAGATGATAGATGGATAGATAGATGGATAAATAAATAGATAGGTAGGTAGAGGGATAGATTGGTGGGAGTGGGGTTTGAAATCAGGGCAGACATTCTACCACTTGAGCCACACCTCC